TGTGTGTGTGTGTGTGTGTGCGCGCGCGCGCTTTTCAAGGCACGGCAGGCTGTAAAGAGGAATGTTGAAAGGAGAGTAGAGCTGGTGTTCGCTTTTCTTTCTTCTCTACTACACCTTTGTACTTTTTACCTGTGTGAGAAATTGAGAGCAGGGAGGGTACTGCGTGGGTGTGTGTGTGAGTTTGTGTGTTTGTGTGTGCATATGTGTGAGGACCATTTGGAGTCTAGACCTTACAGCAGGAGGACATTTCGGGAAAGTTAATACTTTTTCAAAGAGCTGTTGGGAAATAGTGATTAATTCCTTTGTAAAAATCAGAATCGGTTTATTATAAAGCCCAAGACAACAAATCATTTTTGTGCCATAAGATCAGAATTAAACAGGACTAGCGAGACAGGTGGGGCAGCGGGTGTTCCAGAATATTAACCAGATTCTCAGGGCTCTCATAGTCTCTCCCCTCCGGCTGTAGAATAGTTGTGTTGTTAGGGTAAAGGGTGAGGGGCCAGAGACTGAATTACAGGGTTGTGTGTTTTACACAATTGTTAGAAAAAAGCCAGATGTTGCAATATTAAAGAAAGTGACAAGAAAATCCTTGATCCGCTCACAAAATGTGATGAGTTGTTCTCAGACTCAGGCTCCATCCCTCCACCAAGTTTAGTGGACAATTAGTTTTGTAGAATTTTGTGTAATCCTGCTAACAAACACAGATGAAGCAAGTTCTACAACTGAAGCCTCTGACCCAGACACCAGCAGCCAGTTTCACTTCTCGCCCCCAGTGTTTGTGTGCACATACAAGTACAGATATGTAAAAGTGTGTTGCTCTGTGCTGTTCCTCTCGCAGGACCAGTATGACGTCATTGACAAACACACACAGTCGGGCCTCGACCTGGTGGAGCGCTACATAAAGTTTGTGAAGGAACGGACGGAGATAGAACAGAGCTACGCCAAGCAGCTCAGGTGTGCCCGAGGATTCCTTCTCAGTGTTGATTTCCATCCACGGGATTGTACACTTTATTGTGCATTTACAATTTTGTGTGTGTTAGTCATTGTGTTTCCTGTCCAACAGGAGTCTAACAAAGAAATATGCAAAACGAGGGAGCAAGGAAGAGCAAGACTGCAGGTGAGAGATGGATCAAATGTCCAGATTTCATTATTGTTGCAAAGTGATGAAATAAGAACAAAATTAAAAACCGGACATGGCAGTTGAATAAAAGGACTTTGGCCTCGTAAGAATTTTAAAGTAAATGTCTTCATTAAAAAAAGATTTGTCTAATTGTCCCTCCCCCCCCCACTGCAGATTCATGAATCACGCATCTTTCCAGGAGATCCTGAACGAGCTGAACGACTACGCCGGCCAACGAGAGCTCATCGCCGAAAACATGATGATGGGCATCTGCGTCGAACTCACCAAGTACCTCCAGGACATCAAATCTGAGCGGAAAACAGTGAGAGAGGGAGCAGGGGGAGGGAGAGAGAGCGAAGGAGGGAGGGAGGGATGGGTCAAGGCTCATGTGTCATCATGTGGATCTGCAGCACGTTCACTGAGACCTCTTCCCTCCACAGCACCTGTCGGACGCCAAGAAGGCCCAGCAGAATTTAGAGAGCAGCTTTAAACACCTAGAAAGTGTGAGTCATTTGTTTCTGCTGCTCACAGACAGCTAAACTGGATCATGATACCTGTTTTGCAGGTTACAGGGTTCATTTGCTCCAGATTCTCAACAAATACTCAAGTGGGAATTCATTCTCTGATTGGTAATTTCTGTGTGTTCATTCCTGCAGACTAAGAAGCGCTTTGCAAAGGAATGGGCTGAGGCAGATAAAGCCACACAACAATCGGACAAGATAGAAAACGACCTCAATGCCACCAAGCTCGATGTCGAGAAAGTAAACACACACACACGTACACACACATCATCAGCTGAGCTGTTTTCTCTTTCATTTTGGTTTTTGATTTTATCTCCTGTTCCCCTCCTCGCCCCCACATCCTCCTGCATTTCTACCTCTTTGCATTTTGTTTTGCATCTCTTCCTGCACTCTTTCTTCCTCCCCTCCCTTTCTCCTCCACCTCTCCCTCTTGTCCTTCACTCCCCAAGGCCAAGCAGCATGCCCATGCCCGCACGCACGCGGCGGAGGAGTGCAGGAATGACTACGCAGCACAGCTCCAGAAGTACAACAAGGAACAGAACTTCTTCTACTACACAGAGATACCACAGATCTTCAATGTGAGACAAAGACACACAGTCACGCTGAAAGACTGTATATCAAGACAGAGCTCACGTCCCTGCTAATGTGATGTACCACAAACCGAACACAGCCACTCTCCAGTGTGGTGTTTTTAATGCACGGTGTGTAAACACATACCGTGTGACTGTGATATGAAACTAAGGGAGCTCGTTGTGTCCGTGTGTTGAACAGAAAATGCAGGACATGGATGAACGGAGGATCCGGCGGCTGGCGGAGGGATACTGCCAGTTCTCGGACATCGAAAAGAAAGTGCTGCCCATCATCTCCAAGTGTCTAGAGGGAATCTCATCAGCGGGGGTGAAAATTCAGGAGAAACAGGTAAATGTTTGATGTTTGCAGGATTACATATTGGCCTGTGTGTGTGTGTGTGTGTGTGTGTGTGTGTGTGTGTGTGTTGTACGCACAGAAAAATACTTGATCTGTATTGTTTAACAAAGGTTAAAACAAGGAGGAGGTGATGAATACGTTTTAATTACTAATTTGATGCTATAAAAAACGTGTAAGTGACTGACAGCTGAGACTTAACAATATGCATTTATTGACAGTTTGTTTAGACTATCTTGTCTCAATAAACACACAAAGACGAGCTTTATTATCATGTCTTTATGTTAATGTCTGTTTTTGTGCCCTGCAGGATTCCTTACTGTTCATAGAGCAGCACAAGTCTGGCTTTGAGCGACCTGGAGATGTGGAGTTTGAAGACTACACCCAGGGAATCAAACCAGCAACCTCCGACTCCAGTCTCAACCCGCCCAAAGTGCGCACCAAGCTTTGGCCTTTCAGCAAGAAGCACAAGGTGAACGTGCGCTCATGTTTACCTCTGTTTGCAGGATGTTAATAAGACACCCGCAGCCTCTCCCCTTCCTGTCACCAATGGGCTGTATTTGTTAACCTGAATATCCTCTCTGTTCCGTTCCAGTTCTAAGAATGTGGCTCTCACATTTTGTTATTACACTAAAACCTTCCTCTAATTTCTAAACCGTACAACTCGGCTCTCTGCACACAGTCTTCAAATACTGCACTAGTGGAATTTGTCCAATAGGACAATCATAATGTTCTCCCCCACGGTCTGGACTGATTGGTCTTCTGTCCCACTCGTTTGTCTCTGTCAGAAAAGTCCCGCCCCTTACACAGCGGCCTCCTGATCAGCTGTAAACGCTGCTGTAGCTCAGCTTGCTGGTCGGTGGCCTCTTGCTGACGTAGAGGACAGGAATGCTAACAATGCATTTCAGGAGCTGTGCTAATGTACAACAAAGTTTTATGACACAGGAAAGAGATAAAAAGCGTAATATGAGCACATCCTGTTTCCATTTCAAATAATAGTTACATGAATGTTTGTCTGCACGCGAGGGACGGTGTCATGTTACAGATGACGGTGGATAAACCTGTATTTTTGCAGGTTTTAGGACTTGAAAAACCACTTGAGTCAAATGTTGAGACAACTTTGAAGGACCAAAAATAAAACCACACAGCCGTCCAATCGTCGACAGACAAACTCGTACGAAGAACAGGACACAGATGTTTTCTTATCTTCCTCCCAACATCCACTGTAGGAGTGTAAAGTGAAGGTCCTATAACAATGCTTTAAAACACACACACACACACACACACACACACTCTCATAAAACACACATTCCATTCATGTCTTACCCCACCACCCTGTTGCCCTCAGGGGCCAATTCTAATTCCAGTCTGTTGCACAGACTTGCCCTAAAACACCTCTTTCTCTCTGTAGCTCTTCATCCTCTTTATTACAAACTTCTCCTTGACTTACTCCTTTTCTTCTTCTTCTCTTCCTCTCATTACCAGTATCAATTTCTCCCTCCTCTTCCTCCTCCACCTTTTTTCTTTCCCTTGCTCCCCTTCTTTAGTTTGCCCCGCCGTCTTTCTCTCCCCCGTCCCCTCTCCCACCGGGCAGCCACCCTCTTCCCCTTTCCCTCCCTCTCTCCAAGCTGCAGCGCTCCCCCCTCTCTCTCTGTGTGAGGGAGTTTAATCGCTCTGTCAAACCCAGGATTTCCACGTTAAGGATATTACGCAGACCTCGCTTGGTGAGTGACTCTGACACCGTGGCTGACTTTGAGCTCCGCCACCCCGCCCCTCACTGTTGTGTTCACATCCGTCTCATTGATGTCATGTGTACTTTTTGTACATGTTCACATACTTGTCTTTGGGAATGTTTGTTGCACACCTGTCTCATACTGTCTATTTGTCCCTGTCTAGATATCTCATGCTGAAAAGCACATGGTAACTTGTTATTGTCATGTAGAAGGGGAACTTTAAAGGTGTCTAGGTGGATACGATGATTCTGGTGCTGGATTCGTTTCAATGGGGAATACTATATTTAAGGGGGAATGATGTTTAAGGAGTAACTCTACCCTAGATCGTGCTGCACTGACCTCTGTAGGTGTCAAGGCCCCAAAGCATCCAAGGTAGCTTGTTGACGTTCAGTTATTTAAATAGCAAGCTAATAACTTGATATATAGACTGTGTATAAAGATGGATGACATGGCAGCTCTGCAGAAGTTAAGCCAAAACATTTTGATCGCCCCCTGGTGGCTGGCTAAAGTAAAGGTCTTAAACTCCGCCAACTCCATGTCAGCAGATGGGCCGGTAAACATTTTTTTGGCATATTTATTTGATAGTATGAATACAAGAGTCATGATTGACCTCAACGCCGCAGCTTCACTTGATGATTACTACTGCATAGACAAATGATGTCTGTGTTTAGAAGTAAAGACGCGTCACCCATCTTTGTTTACACTCTGTGTCTCATACACTTGAGACGTGTCGTCCACAGTTGGACCCTCTTGCCGGTTTGTGCCGCTCATATCCATGTGCAACCATTTCATTTGAATCATGGCTCAAAACATCCAAATCTCCCCGAAGACATTATGACCCAGCAGTCTCTGAAAACCCCAGAAAGTCATTTAACAACATACCACTGTTCTGACGTTTCTTACATGGTCCCACAAGATTCTCCTAAACATCTGGATGATGTTTTCCAAGATGTGAATGTGTTTCCTAATCCAGGTGGAGATGACATGTGTGTCCTTGTTCCTTTTGTGAAATATAAGCAAAATATCAAACATGTGCCGGATTTTGGAAACACATTCTGGGTTTATCCAAGACGGACAATTACATTTTATTTTTTGCTGCGTTGCTAACAGAAGTTAGCGGTGTTGGTTCAAAACAACATATTCATATCATTGAATCCTGTCTCACAACTCTTTGCAAACCATTTCTCTTACAGAAGAGGTTAAAGTAGAATCAGAGAGATGCTGTCGATCAACGTTTCCACAGTGAATAAATCCTGTGGTCCCTTTTCCCTCACCACTAGGTGGCAGTGCAAGCAGTGTTTGTTATCTGGGTGCAGTTACTCTTTAATCAATGAAATCAAATGCACATTTGTGTTGGTAGATGGTATTTTCTGTTCATTTTTGTCCTCATTCTACAACAGTAGCAGTGTGTACACCATAGACAGCTTCTTAGTCATTCTAATGAAGTTTGTTTGTCTTAAATGTCCAAACTCTGTAATCCTTTATTGTCCTTATCAATAGTTATTCTCCCTCTTTTGCATTAATTATAAGTGTCCTTATAATACATTTAAATTCTTGCACACTGGTATGGCATCATGGGAGAAAGAGTTCTATTGTTTCTCTTTCTATGAGTTGTTCAAACAGTACATTACAGTATGCACCGGTTGAAATCCTGCCAGCAAAGGTTCCTTTGGATGTTAAAGGGTTCATGCTTCTCACGCTGTCTGTAACAAGTGTGTTGTCTCTGCTTTTCCTTCACTGCTTGCAAATCAAGTTTTTTTTTTTTTCTTGGGTTCTTTGATTGAGAAACTTTTCGCAGTCTGAATGTAGATGTCATATAAGCAGAGGGAGCTGAGGACAGGGAGCAGCGACATCTGGTGGTGAGCATTGTTTACAGCTCACTCAAGTACTTGTGTGTGTGCGTTATTTTTCGTGCAGCCGGCGGCTACGGAGGATTTCTCTCACCTTCCCCCGGAGCAGAGGAAAAAGAGGCTGCAAGCGAAGATCGATGAAATCGCCAAAGAGCTGCAGAAGGCGCAGGACCAAAGGTGACGACATCCTCAGCAAATATCACAGTCTAAAAAAACACATCTGAATCTTATGAATATGAATTGACCTTGATCACATTCGGGTGTTTTGGACTAAAATGGACCTGATGTGGCTTTGATATACAAAATACAGGGATTCAGTGAAGAGTATGTTTTTTCGCTGTTAAGAATCAAGTTAAAAACTCATCTGTGCACAACCAATCAGTTGCTTCAGAGAAAAAGGAAAAAGAAAAACTGTTGTACCACATTTTTCACAGATATTTCTCACCACTGTTCTAGTGACTGTGAATTTCGATAGTGAAACCATCAGATTAGAGCCCAACCCTTGTGGATTTTTGTGGGCTGATGTCGTTACAGATATGAGTGAGTAAAAAAGTGTTGGGACTGATAGACCGGCTGATAAATACATAATAATTATGTATTCACAGAAAAGATTCTAAGATGTATGACTGTATGACAAGGACATCGAATTGAGGCTTGATATTCTACAGTTTACACATTAGCTTTATTATAAATAACTATACATGTAAAGAGAGTACAAGTAAAACCAAACATAGAGATCTTTCATTAACATTTTGTCAACATCTTCGTAAACATCGTATTGATAATTGTCAACTTCTAAAAAATATTAATAAACTAGAATCTGTTAAGGACAAACTACGTAATGAAACCATTTCCAAGAGTTGAAGTTTTTTTTTCCAACATACTTTTGTGTACTTCTGTTTTTCACAGTTTTGCACGGGTCTTTTAGTTTCAATCTCAGAAAACTAAATTCTATATATAAAAGGGTGCTTCTAACTGTGTGGCAGCAGTTTGAGGAAGATTCTTTCTTCTTCTTTTCTTGTATGAACATGAAAATTCCCCTGAGCCATGACCACAACGTTTCACAATTTGATGTGGAGAAACTGGACTGACCTGTACTGAGCCATGGACTCAACCCCACTGTCCACCATTAGCGTCCAGCCTCCAGTACCGTATACATGTACTAGTCAGAAAGTCTGCCAACCCCTCCCATCCTTATCAGCAGTGCTGCACTGGAGAGGAGCTTCCTTAATCAGTGCTCACATTTCAAAAACAATAACATGTCCTCCTCCCTGTTTGACCTCAGTGAAGCGCTGGAGAAGATGAAGGGCGTGTACGAGCAGAATGCACAGCTGGGAGACCCGTCCAGTCTGGAGCCTCAGATCACAGAGACCACCCAGAACATCGGTCGCCTGAAGGGGGAGCTCACCAAATATGAGGTGCTCACTCACTCACTCACTCACTCACTCACTCACGAACTCACGAACTCACTCACGATATTCACGTATTTGTGCTTTAAACTGTTTATTTCTTGATCATCACAGTCGTGGCTGTCGGAGGCAGTGGGAGGAGAAGAATCCTCCAACACCATCAACAATAATTCTCAACATGGGTAAGACCTGGATTTCTCGACTCAAATGAGAAGATCAGAATCATTATCTCTGTCTTGTCTGGTTTTAAAAGAAGCTACAGCCAGTAACGTCACGTTTGTTGCCGTCTGAACACTCCTGGCTGGTTCGAATCCCCGGTCGGCCGAGGTTCTTCCTGGAGTGAAACCAGATAAACGGCTGGATGATATTATTAAAATATTATTCTTAAGACATCGCTGAGAGGTGACACAGATATTTCACCTCACTCTTGTTCGTGGTGACCCTCACTGTCTGCATGTCAGGTTTTAAAAGATTTTACTGTAGAATTATTATTTTATTATATATATGAATGTGTGTTTATATGTGTCTCTCCAGCATTGTAGGAGCTGACCAGTCCCATAACATCTACACAGAGTTTGACGATGAGTTTGACGACGTAGAACCTCCCATTGGCCAGTGCGCGGCTCTCTACACCTTTGAAGGTACATCCGCTTTATTTACATATACACATATATATATATATATATATATATATATATATATGTTATTTTTTATCTCTGTTTATTCATCTTTTACTTGTGTTTGTGTTCAGGCAACAGCGAGGGCACCATTTCCATCACGGAGGGAGAGCTGTTGAGTGTAATGGAGGAGGATAAAGGAGACGGGTGGATGAGAGTCCTCAGAGCCAGTGGGGAGGAGGGATATATACCATCATCCTATGTCAAAGTCACTCCTTAACACACACACAGTACAAACATACACAAACTCACACACACACACGCAGTAAACATTTAAAGCTTGTGATGGAGGCGAAGCAAAACGTGATTAATTGGAGCAGTTCCCTACATCCTTTATCTCAGCATGTGACATGTACAGTGAGATGGTTAAAGCGCTTGTTGTCACGGCCGGTCGCCACGACACACACTCCCTGTCTCTGCTCGCCGCGGCCGTCTCCGAACTCGGACCGCCAGTCCCGTCGGCTCGTTATAGATTTTTATTTTTTAAACCAAACTTCTGAATGTATACCTGAACTTTATTTTGTCACCGTGCTAAAAGTGACGACTCGTGCGACGTGTTCAGCTTCACAGCAGCCTGACGCTGTCTCTGTGTCAGTATATCGCCCACTCCTCCTTCACGCTGCTGTTTCTAATCACCTGCTGAACTTTTCCTTTTTTCAACTCCGGTCTTCTGCTAAAACCTCTTTCCTGAAGCGATAATGTGACTTTTTTTTTATCATAGTGATGTTTGATGACTTTGAACTGGATGAAAACCACTACCCTCTAGAGAGTGCACTAAATATAATATCTCTCAATGGACTGTCACAGTAAAGGATAGACTCACGTTTTACATTCTTTTAAATATCTGTCTTCAAACAATATTCAGGTGCCCGTATGAAACAGAAACAGTTTTCGCTTGCTGTCACCATTTTCTTTTACTGGTCTGCAAAGTGTATTCTGAAGTATTTCTGAAGCTCATGTGAAGCTTCAGCCGTCTGACCGAGACGCTTCACAAGTTCGACAGCCTCTCGATTCATTGTTTGTGTCACTGTCACAGCAGCTGAGCACACTCTGTGCAGCAGAGACTCATTCTGGAGGATAGCAAGTCAAACGTCTGACAAATTAAAGCAACACCATGTCACTTTTACTGAGCAACAGCGCCCTCTGCAGCTAGACTTGGTGATTACTTCTGTTGGGTTCCGTGGCCGAGTGATTAATGGGTTGTATGGTCTCACTCGCTGAACTGAAACACAACTGAACGGTGCATATTACCCATGCTCCTCGACTTCCTGCCACCAAAGTCTGTTTAGAATTCTCCACATTTAAGAAGTTTCCGGGCTGAATATCAGTTTTTAGTTTTGGTTTTTAATGACTTGTAAGTCTATTTTAGCTGATCTACAGTTCAGCTCTACTCTTCAACTCGCTGAACCTGATCCTGACTGTTGAAGCTGCGACTTTGTCAGTTCCTCACTTCTCACAGGAGTTCGCACCGACCCACCCTGAACGTCTGTTCTTTCAACTTTGGTGAGTGCGTACGATTTCCTGTGAGGAACTGACAGAAAGAAAGAGTAAACATTCTCCATATTCCAAGTCAGTGAAGCATCAAAATCATTTTAGTTTAAATAGCTAAGAGGTTGCATAGTGTTGCTTTAACTTGTCAGAATATATTTTCTCTCTTAAATTCAAAGTGATTCTTTATTGGCTGATAAGTAAAAGAGGAGTCACTACAGGAAGCAAAAACTGTTCTGGTGAGTATGTGGACGTGTGATTGTTTTTAGATGTGAACCCAACTTTTAACTTTATATAATATATATATCCCAGTTTCTCTTCTACATTTGCAAGAAAACCTTCATTGCGATGTTTTTGTGAAATTTAAAAGCACAAAATGATCAAAGTTCAAATAGAGAATTTATCATTTTATAATTCCTGTGAACTGTCTGTATTTGAGGTTGCGGCCTCAGTGCTGCTCCAGAGATCATTACTTAGCACTGACGTTATGGAATCTGATAATAGGTGCAACTCAAAGTTAGATAATAGGCAATTATTCAGTTTCGCTTTCCACTGTTGCACAAACGTGGCTGGGATCTCGTTAGAGCGAGTGGTGCTCTGACTATTCTTTTTTCTCCATGTTTTGGTTTGACATTTTTTAACCACCAGTTTTTATATTGTGAGTCTCCAGACCTCCAGATTAGCACTCCTCTTCTTCTCAAATGCTCAGTTGCCATAAGAAAATACTGAATTTTAAAAGAATCAGTGAGAACAGGATGGATTTCAATGGAAAGAAATGGGAGTTTTGAGATTTAGCTCCTCATTCAATCACGGCCAAGGGCGACAAGTTTTAAAGAAATGTTCAAGATATGTTTGAATGTCGTTTTAAGAAACACTTCACTGAAAAAGATTCATCAGACTCGTCTGCACCGTGAAGGTCAAACATTCAAGAGAGGCAACAAGAAGCAACAAGATTTTTGACTGGAGACAAACAGTTTACACTTCTCTTTCTGTACCATCCTGTCCTGCACTAATATTTAAGGGGTTTTATTTTACAATCCATTTTTAAAAAGAAAACAAATGTATTTACTTGTATTTTGAGTCATAAATTGGGATTTAAAAAAAAAAAAAAAAAGCCTGATTTCTTGTATTTGTCTGTTTTTTGTTGTTTATGAGAAATACAACATGTAAAAAATGATTTATGACAAAAAAGTAAACATTCATTTATTGCCTCATAAGTGAAAAAAAAGATTATTTCCAGTGTGGTTCCACAGAGCAGCAGTTCCTGAACTCAGTTTTAATAATGTCCATTGGAGCCTCCAGTATCTGAGTATCAGAAATGCACATTCGGAAAAGTAAACAGATATTTTTTGGGTAAACAATGTCAGATTTCCTGCAAAAGGAAAATGGATCAAGCAAAGTCCTTTTCACAGTAAAGTCAGTCCACACAGTAATTAATTTTTTACAAAGTTGTCATATCAAAATCTCAACAGTCACATCTCAGCCAGTGAAACAAAAAGAACTTCTCTCTTTATGTCTGTGTGATGTCAAAGGTCAATCCTTGACATAAACTCAACTAAAAGCATCTTTTTGTCTTTCGATGCCGATGTCATCTTTCACTCAGTGAAGCAAGCGCCCGGAGGGTCAGGTTAAAGTGTCAGGTTGCTGTGGGGTGATCTCCACAGGCTCCAGTTTATCCGAGAGAACACAGAGAATTTTGTCAAACTTCTCGTAGCGCTCCTTTCTGCTGGCAGACGCACCCGACTGACCCCAGAGCAGGCGCAGGGCGAACTCTGTCCGGAAAACCTCGAGCAGCTCAGGGATCGGCTCCCAGCCTCCTGGTGGAGAGGTGTGACAGACATGTGATGAGAGCAGACACCACACATGATGGACTTTTCTACTTCCTGTCCGAGCGTGTTTGATTTTACCACACAATATAAGAACAGAGGATTCATGTCATGATCATGGTTTCTTCAGTAGAAGATCATTAACATATCATTATCAGCAAATTATAAGTTCCCCTCATGCTACTACCTTAATTTTAAAATTAGTTTTTTTGTGCTGATTTTTGAAAGCAGGACTTTAAACTCAGCAGTAATGTTTCTCTTAAATAATTAAATATTTTGAGGATGATGAAATCTCATGAACCAAGACTTCCTTGTGAGTAGGTGACAGTTTACGACCAGTTGGCACAGTTGAGAGAGTTTGGTGCACCAACACTTTTAGCAGCACCAAACACTGGCATGTTGTATATTGCTGACTGAAAAGAGAGGACACCGTTGTGGGTGCATGTGTGTACCTGTGAGCAGAGTGTGTGCGTGCTCCTGATAGTCTTGTGCATGTAGTGCAGCGCTGCGTGCTGATTGGAGAACATCAAAGAGAAGCTCACAGCCTCTGTCGCTGTTCTCGACTGGGTCCTCACCCTCCATCGTCATCAGCAGAGGAACGAGGTGTGGCACGGCGATGGGGCCCTGAACTACAGAATCTACAGAAAATCACACAGGATCAACACACGAGTCAATGCACGACGTAATCTATTTCTAAAAAGGGTCACGGCATAATTTCTTTACAGATATTTAAACGTAACCCTCTGACAAAAGCTTCCGCCAAAGGAGTGTGATGTGTCTCCGACTCAAACCCCACGACTCACCGTCTCCCTCGTTCAGCGAGTTCATGAAGGGCTTGAGTTTCTTCTCAAATAAAACTGCACTCTCTGTGTGGTTCCTCCGCAGCGCTCGCCACGTCATCTCCAGTCGTTCTATCTGCTCACAGAAACAAGTGTTCAAAGAAACTTCAACCAGTTTCCACACGATTTTACATTAAACAAGTGTTTCTCTGTCATCTTTTCACCACCTGAGGCATCTCCAGAGCCTTCATCATGGCCGAGAAGGAGTAAAGGTTGTGGGTATGTTCTTTCAGCGCCTGAGCCAATGAGATTAATTTATGTAAAACAGTTGCCCTTTGGCTCACGGTTCCTGTGCAGCCCAGGACGTCCACTGCGACTCCCAGTGCGATGAGATGATGTCTAAATAAGGGAAAGATGGAAAACATGAGGATTTGTCTTGACTTTGTTTTCAAACATCTAAATTATTAATGTTAGATAAAACCTTGGTTCTGATTGCGAGCTCTTAAACCTTAGGTAACTTATGAAGAACCCGATAATATCCAGAAATCTTTGCAGGATTGGGTGTTTTTCTTCACTTTTGCTAATTTCTCAGGATAAAATACCAATAATGGATTTTGAGGGAAAAAATCAGGTATATTTAGGACTTCCTGTGTGCCTATGACGGAGAACAATTTGATGTAGATCAGAATAGAAATCTGAATTTAAATATGGTTTTTGGCGGAGTAATGCACAAGGTCTTTTACCCATTATTTTTTGTGTACTGTTGTGTACTCAAGACTTTGGTCTTCTTTATGTTACTTGTGCTTTTGTGTCGACTGCTATTTTGCTGCATTTGTTTTGTCGAGCCGAAAACAATTTTTGACTCTAGTGGACAATAAAATTGGATTTGATTCTTTCCTATCATCCACAAAAAGAGTCCCCCATCCTGTGACACTGATTCTGGATAAAGTTGTCACAATTGACTTTCTCATTATTTCAGCACCAGAAAAGAAATTCAATTTTTATAAATTGTTTTGTTTTGACATTAATATTCAGAGATGAATAACTTCAAACCTGTGGGACAGATTGAAGCAAAGATATCTGCATGGCTTGATACAGAAGTCAGGAAATATGTGTTTTTAAAATTTGAGTGAAACAATCCTTTATTAATCCGTCCACTGTCATTCATCTATTTTAAGCGTATAAAGGGTGTCGGCTGCACAAACCTTTCTAACAGATCCTGTCGTAGCTGGTGTCCATGTGGCAGAGTGACAAGCTCCAGCCCTGATCCAACTCCCATGAGCCTCTTCTGCTCATCCGTCACCCCAACGATCCGTGCTACCTGCATGATCACCACAATGAGCGATGAGTGGTCACTCAGGTTTTACAGCCAGTTTGCTGCAGGATCATCAAAGCTAGTATTTGGGACTTTTGTTACTGAAAACACAAAAGTTTAAACCAGGGCAAATAAAAGTAAAGTGGAAATACTCTTTAACCTTTAAGCTTTAGAAGTCTGTTCGTTAAATAAGCTCCAAGATGGCGGGGGCACAACAATTAAAAAGAAAGTGTCTATAGATATGTATATATGTAATCCATTGTGTGTGTGTGTGTGTGTGTGTGTGTGTGTGTGTGTGTGTGTGTGTGTGTGTGTGTGTGTGTGTGTGTGTG